AAAAAAAAAAAAAGAAAAAGAAAATTTCCTTTATCATTTCCCCCTTTGGATCACTAATCTTTCCTCAGAAAGCATTGAAGATCAACCTTATTTTATGTTCCTCGGTGCCAAGGTGACTGGCTTGTCTGTCCTGGCTATATCAAGTCCCTCGTTGCTAGGTGTGACTATATATATATGTGTGTGTTTTACCTAGAGTTCTTTGTTGAGGAAAATTTATTGTAACATAAATGGTGGGAAGCGTAAAAGTGATGTATGTTCAGGGGCGCCTGGGTGGCTCAGTTGTTTAAGCGTCTGCCTTCGGCTCGTGTCATGAATACCAGGGTCCTGGATTGGAGCCCGGCATCGGGCTCCCTGCTCAGCAGAGAGCCTGCTTCTCCCTCCCCCTCTGCCTGCCACTCCCCTGCTTGTGCTCTCTCTCTCTCTCTTTCTCTCTGTCAAATAAATAAATAAAATCTTAAAAAACAAGTGATATATGTTCTCTATTAAGGCCAATTGATGAGCAAACATAATACGTGTGCTTGGCTTAGATGGTCTAGTTTTGATATAACATTTATAACAAAGATAGATGGACAGTAAAAGAATTCCAATAAGTAGAATTTGAAGAAACCCATGTGCTGTTGAAACAGACTTAGAAGAAAAAAATCCAAAGAATCCTTTACATACATTTTGATAAAAGGGTAGGGAAATTTATGATTATTTATGAGGAAAGATGGAGCATGTGCATGGAGCAAACATAGCATATATTCCCGTGCTTCTTCAGGGCAGAGACTTAACATCAAAAGAAGGCAAAATTCAGTCCCTGACATCAGGAGGTTTTCTTAGGATAAAGAGAAGGGGCTATGGGCAAGCGCCAAGAGCTGGTATTACCTGGATAGGGTCTTAGACTTGTTGTCTCCGGTAAGGAATGCAGAGCCTTGTTTGTTCACAGGCTGGAACCATTATCAGCTGACCTTGAGTCCAGGCTTCTGCAGGGACAGCTAGTGAGTTTGTTAATGGGGTCTGAAAAGACACAATAGCTGATTGAGGGAAGCAGTTGTCTGAAAAACAAATTTTAAAACTTTTTGTTAGTTTTAACTTCATTACCCCAATTCTCCTGAGTTATGATCTTTCCTTAATCTCGAAGAACCAAAACGATGACCACTTTGGCCACTTCTTTATTTCTTCGGGTGAGGTAGGTTTGGGGTAAAGAGCAGTTCTTGCAGGTCTTAGCTGTAACATACCTACGTCCTGGGCTAAGCAAAAGTTTTTAGTTTAAAGGTCCTAGGGCGCCTGGGTGGCTCAGTTGTTTGAGTGACTGCCTTTGGGCTCAGGTCATGATCCTGGAGTCCTGGGATCGAGTCCCATATCAGGCTCCCTCCTCAGCGAGGAGTCTGCTTCTCCCTCTGACACTCCCCCCTCTCATGCTCTCTCCCAAATAAATAAATAAAATCTTAAAAAAATATATTTAAAGCTCCTAGCAGCAAGGGAAATAGAAGCAACATGGAGTCAGACATGCTAAGTTTTTTTCCTGTTGTGATTTCCCATTGTCAGTCCTTCATTCCATTTCTATGGAACATGGGTGGAGGTCCATCTTCTGTCACTGCTTCAAACTGAATTAGGGTGCAATAGGGGCTTTGCAATGGAAGGAACCGAAATGGTGTAGGATGCAATTCTTGGTCCTTTGTGCTAATAGAAAGGAACTATCAGAGATAGTTCCTTACCTGAGAACTTGGATATTTTCCTACATAGTTTGGTACTATATGACATCATTAATTTTATCCCCAAGTATATTTTAAGGAAAAGTAACAGTACAGTTAAACCCATCGTTCCTTCTAAAATTGATATCAATGGGTATCCAAGAGAATAGATCAGTAAACCAGTCCCAGCCACCTTGGAAAGGCAGGTGTGGTGGTCAAGGGCTTCTTGCAGCCAAGTGGCTTGCTGTCTGCTTTTATCTATATGGATTCTATTTCCCAGAAGGAGTTCATATAGGGGCAGCAAGTGGTGTTAGCCATCATACAGACTCTGTCCTGATTAGCAAGCAGTCAAGTAATTGGGAGGAGGCATTTCTATGCGAACAAAAGTAAAACACAGGTTAAAGGTTGGAGCAAATGACAAACCCAGGGTCTGAGTCTCGAATGCTGTCAGTGAGATTTTCAGATTTCAGGCTTGAAACATCCTCAGATGGAGTGGAAATCAGATGGGGTTTTCCGGTTTGTAATTCAAATGTCTCCTGTGATCTTTTTGAATGACCCATAGAGCAAAAGGCATAAAGATTGTCTATACATGAGTTTTGTGGCAATTTCTCTGAAGCTGACCTCAGGTTGTCCAAAATTAGTTTTTAGGGTTTTAGGAAAAAAGGGCAGTTTTAGTTAAGAGAATGGAAGAAGACTGGAAACCTTAGCTTGGAGAGCCAGAGCAAGGTATGTGAGGAAACCAGAAGAATTCAGGATCTAGTCTAGTTTATAATAAATCTAAAATGTATTTTAGATATAAATAAAAGATAAATAACTAAAGATACCTAATAACTTTTATTAGATAAATAAAAACTAAAATCTAATATCTACAAAGATGTGTTATTGAAACGTATTTTCTCTCTATAATCACCCTCATTTTTAAAAAAGATTTTATTTATTTGAGAGAGAGAGAGCATGAGGGGGAACAGTATGCAGAGGGAGAAGCAGACTCCTCGCTAAGCCTGATGCAGGGCTCGATCCCAGGACCCTGGGATCATAACCTGAGCTGAAGGTAGATGCTTAACCGACTGAGCCACCCAGGCGCCCCCATAATCACCCTCATTTTTAAAGATAGCCAATTCAAGACTAGTTTGTTTGTAAAACAAGTCCAGTGTTAACAAACTTGGCCTGGTTATTTACTCAGCAAGAGCAGTGACTGACCATACAGAGTTTTTCAAACTTGTGTTGCTGGAACTTTTTTTTTTTTTTTTAAGTAGGCTCCATACCCAATGTGGGGCTTATACTCATAACCTCAGGATTGAAAGTTGCTTGCTTTACTGACTGAGCCAATCAGACAACTCTGAAACTTTTCATAATGAATCTCCAGATTGAACTTTTAGTAGCCTCTTGAAGCCAGAAGCCAAGCCAAATACTTGCCATCAGACTTGCCTGTGATACCTGTAGATTTGGGCGAATTCCTCTTCTCAAGGTCCCCAAAACATCCTGAGGTTCTTGCACCTGCCAGGAAGCAACATTCTTTACTTACCTGGTAAGGCTGCTGAGAACTCCATAAGCAAAGGTATCAGGCCAACATTTCCAAAGGGCTTTATTGGCTTTATAGGGTCAACCTTAATTCCTTAAAACTGTCTGGTCATATCTGAGTCTATGCATTTCTCTCTCAAATACGACATTCCAGTCAAAGCCTTGAAAATATAACCAGTGTTTCCAATGGTGTTCTCTTATAAGGAGAACAGATTTTTATTGAACTTACGTAAATAATTGTAATTGCCATGAAAGAAATAACACTCACTGAGGGTTTCTGAATTTCAGAGGGTTCAGGCAGGGAGAAAAGTTAAATGTCTCAATTTGTTCACAAAGGAATATTTTTATCCTATTTCTGTAGATAATGGATATCTTAAGAGAAAATTTCCTTAATCTGAAAGAGCAAACATTAGAGAACCAACAAAGTTTTAAGTAAGAGTCATAAAAAACTATAATCATCTTTCTCAATCCATTTAGCCCTGTTATTAATTCTTGTCTGAATGCAGCTTTTTCTGTTAGTTCTGGAAATTTTTAGTTAGCTTAGTTTTATGATCTTAAGGATATCAAATAACTGGGGCACCTGGTGGCTCAGTCATTGGGCAGATGCCTTTGGCTCAGGTCATGATCCCGGGGTCCTGGTATCGAGACCCGCATCGGGCTCCCTGCTCAGCGGGAAGCCTGCTTCTCCCTCTCCCACTCCCCCTGCTTCTATTCCCTCTCTTGCTGTGTCTCTCTCTGTCAAATAAATTAAAAAAAAAAAGATATCAAATAACTGTATTTGTCAAAAGTTCCTTTTATGAGACTCCTTGAAGATGAAACACATTTTGCAAGAGCAAATAACTAGAACAATAACTAGAAATGACAAAGAACTAAAAAATGGACATGGCTAAAAATCTGATATGAGAGCTCATTATAATATAAGTGGCAAGGAAATCCAGTTATTTCTGACATAACATTTCAAAAATCAGCATATCAAGTGATGACCTAATACCAGGACATACGAAAACTTCAGGAATTTCATGTATCTTCTAGAACAGTTATAGCATTTATCCATAAGATACAACCTAAGGGTTATCATTATTTGTTTGACAGTGTTTGCCAAGTAAATTAACATACCAAATTAACAAGCCTGATTAGTCAAAAAGACTTCATTTAGGATTTGAATTTCTGGAAAGTTTATTTAAAAAAACCTCAGGATGGGCACCTGGGTGGCTCAGTTGGTTAAGCAACTGCCTTCAGCTCAGGTCGTGATCCTGGAGTCCCGGGATCGAGTTCCGCATCAGGCTCCTTGCTCGGCGGGGAGTCTGCTTCTCCCTCTGACCCTCCTTCCTCTCATGCTCTCTGTCTCTCATTCTCTCTCTCTCAAATAAATAAATAAAAACTTTAAAAAAAAAAAAAAGAAAAAGAAAATTTCCTTTATCATTTCCCCCTTTGGATCACTAATCTTTCCTCAGA